GTGAAATAGCACTGAATCTTCCTCTTTGGAACCATCCCAGTTTCTTTAAACAAAATGTGAGACTATAAGACTGCGACTGATCTCATACTGGAGTTTAATCTACTAAATCTGTGTTGTTCCAGTAGAATTATAATCAGCTTTTATTAGGAAGAAATCATAAGTAATAAAAAAGAAAAGGTTAAACAGAACAAAACGGAAGTTAGGTGCAGAGATATGTACACAAATACAACAACAAGGTCATGTTGCTACCTTGTTTTTAAGCTAGGAATCAGCACCAATTTTTTCTCTTTTGGAATTCACTTTAAAGCATAAAACTAAAATAGGAGACATTTTCACTTCTGCTTTTCTTTCCCAGGCTTGTTTCTATCCCTCACATATGCTCACACACTCACCCCTGGTTTCTCCTTTGAGAAGTCAATATTATCACAACAAGGGATCCTGGGGTCTGCCACAACTACTAATAGAAACTGGTAAGTGTAGCTCAGCAGATTTCAGCCCCTACAAACTAGGCAATTCAGAAAGAAAAAAAAAAAAAGTCAGTGTTTCATAAACAGTATTAGATTTGCAAGGTCAAAATGAAGAGACAAAGGCACTTCTTGCATGAGAGAACCACTTCCTTTTCAGAGATGCATGGAAAGAGTATCTAAACTTGCACTCAGTCCTGAAATACCTACTCAGAAAGTTACTGAAATGCAGATACTTTAGATTCCTAAAGACAGGGACACATCCACACACACATATAATTTCGGTTTTATTACTAGCTGCACCACAAGCTTTCTTTTCATCTTCACACTCATCGTCTCAACACCCACCAAACTAATTATCTGCAAGAGCTTTCCAATAAGCAGCACACACTGCTGATGTTTTGCTTTCTGACTGTTTATATTCGATTTGAAATTACATAAAAACATACTCCCCTATTCAAATACCTATTTAACAAAGAAACACGTGCCACGTATGAGATGAGACAAATTAGCTTATATCAGAAATGGGGAAGCCTGAAGGTATAAAGATGCATCAGTATGCAATAAAGATGCATCAGTAGCCTGTCAGAGGGTGCCAAACTCTGGTAACAAAGCACAAGCTAACTCCAGAGAACGTAATACTGCCGCGCCTAACAAAATAAAACCAAGACCCCTGTCAGCCTGTGCTGTGTCCTTGTTCTGATGCTGTTCAAAACGTGTCAATTCATTTTTCAAAAATGCACTACACATTCTTTTATTACTATATTTCTTAATGAGTTTTATAACTTTTCTTGAGTGGTGAAAACAACTTCCTATTACAGGTTTAAATATTCACGAGGCAACTGCATATATTACACCTAGAGAAAAATTTCTAGATTTTTATCGGTCCATTGTGAGATTCCCTAATGCTTATGCACTCAATTTATTTATGTAAAGGTGAGATTTTAAAAAATTAGGTTTTAGGACATGGAATATTTTTCTTAAAAGTCTATATAATTTTTGTTTAATCTATTTCTCTGCAATACATTTATAAAATATTTTTAAAATGGTATAATCTGTAAATAGGAAAAATGCATTAAATTAAAAGAATCTATTAGTTTGTATCAAATCATTTCATGCAGGTGCTTTAGAACAGAATTAAGATATTTAAAAGATTTTATCTGAGGCTCTGATCATGTTTTTAATTATTTTAAACACCTGATAAAAATTCAAAGAAATACATGTATTTAAAAAAAAATTAAAATTTTTAAAAACTCCTACTAGCAATCAGTGTATACAATAATTACAAACACCAATAGCCAATTGGGATATAAGACTATACAGATCAAATGGTAAATCAAGCAAGGGCCAACATGGAACAGCCATTACAAAAAGCTAAAATATAGTGCATTTAATGGTTTTTTGTAACAACTTCTAGCACCTGACGGGCTGATTACAGGGGCATGGGATGGTTTTGTTCTCCCTACATCCTTGCGGGGGGGGGGCACAAAAAAGAGTCGATCACACTATCAGACACCAAGCCCCCTCAGTTGTTTGTCTGGGGTTTTTTTAAACAAAAATAGAGAAAGTACTTTTATGCCTCTATCTGCACAAGCTGGGACTAAGTCCCTAATTTGCACAGAGGGAGGAAAGAACTTCTATTCTCCTGCCCCTACCTCTTGTGTGAGGAGGTCACAGTAACTTCCAAGATATGGGCTGAGACCAAGCAAACACAGATGTTGAGGTGAAAATAATGAAGAGATCGTTGTTCACACTCCTTCCCAGCTACACTTAAGCAACAACACTGTGACATCTCATGTGACATCTGCTTACTTCAATCAGAGATATAGAGGAAGCGTGCCAAAAAAAATAGAAAGGTTTCTCAAAACCAGAAGTTCTGTGTTCTTCAGCAGTGCCTACTGGACCACTCCATTAATTAAATGAATCCCACCAACACTTATAATTCAAACAGTAGTAGAGTAAGCAGGTATTCTCTGGCAGCCCTGATCAGCTACGCCACCCTGCCAGCTTGCTTGCTGCTGGGCAGCCACGATCACAGCACAAGCCCTACACATCCCACACTATTGCCTGACACAGCTGAAGCAAAAACCACCCAGCCACAGCTACAGCGGAGGGCCGCCCCTGCTCTGCTTTAGGCACCACAGGTCCGTAGGCAAACTAGAAACAGCCTCTGCAGATTTAAGATTCAGTGTCTTCTGAATGAAACATTTCTATCACTTTTGCTTGCAAATACATAAACAAGCATTTGATCTTAGGCACCAACTTTTTGTTACAAATCAGTGTGTTTGTCACAAAAGTTCGTTAATATTTGTTTCTGCCAGGTAGGGACACACTTGTGGTGAAAGCAGGTATTGTAAATCTGACAAAGTCTCTCCACTTATTGCAAAAGGTTAAACTAGTCACAGTACTATGAATACCCATCATTACTTTCCTCCAGCTGGCTGTCTAAAAGCACACTAGCTTTCCTCTGAGAAGTTAAGTTTGACTCAGCACAAAGCTGTTTAATTAGCAAAAGCAGCAGTGCAATCAAGCAAGCATTTTGCATTCTACACCAAGGTATGACACTGTCCTCCCACCCATGGTGCCTGTGAAGTCTTATCACCTCATTACAAATATTTTTCACTCCATGAGGTAAGTAGCTTCATCTTTGGAAGCACTATCATTATTCCAGGTAACATTTACTTCATCATTTATTTCTTCACTTTTTGTCATCTACAACATAGCCACCTTTGCCAATTTACTCTTTTCCATTCTTTGCAACTTTTCCGCCTACTTGTAATTACTCTTTGCTGCTGCATTCATCCAACAAGGTCCAGAAACCTTCCGTAGTGGTCCTACATCCAAAGCTGACTTACTGTGTTTGTTGTGCTCTTCTTCAGACACAAGTTTATACTCAAACACATATTTTCACTACAGTCTTATCATCGTTTGTAATGCAGATCGCAGTGTATATCCACAAACGTATAAAAATCCAAATCATGAGTCCATTTCAATTATATTAATAGCAGATTTGTGCAGTTTAGAGCATTCACAATGGGCAGGCTGGCTGAAGAGCTAAAGGTGATAAAATTATGTGATATTGCGTACGAGTACTTCTGTGGGTGACTATCACGTGGTACTATTAAGGACTAGGTACTAAAAATGCTTACAGTGAAGTCACTATTTTAAGAATACATTGATACTGTGAGAATATTTAGCATCAATCTTTTGGAGAAACATGGTTTCAACAAAAATGTGTACAGTCTTGCAGTGTCCCATAGTGTTTACAGAATGGCAAATAACATCCATTTAAAACATACACAGCTCCAAATACAGTAAGTCCTCTAGACACACTTTTTCAAGATCAACAATAAGAAGTCTAATAATATAGTATTTAATAACCTTTTGTTTCATACTGTTCCTATTTGAACAGATTACAATTTGCTCCTGGTAAATAATTATAAAATTCTGAATAGATTGTAAGTAGAATTTCTTATTTCACGGTGTCTAAAGTCTACAAAGCAATTTGTTATTCCCTTTATCTCTCGCTTCAGCCTTCTTACTTTGAAATATACCTATTTAAAATTCATTAATTATTTCCCTGCCAATTTCTCCATTTCCTTTCCATTAAGCCAAACTTCAGAAGAAAACATCGGCAAACACTTTTTTTCTTTTAATATTACCTATCAACTAAACATGTTGCTATAGGTTTCACTAAGCTTCAGAGAAGTTTCTGTGGTCTCTTCAGAGATAAAGGAGAAAAAAAAAAAAAAAGAGTCACTCATATTCAGGGGATAGGGGTGGGGTGGGGGATGACACCAGAGAAGAGTTTGCCCAAATTGCAGTCAGCATCTCATATACACTAAGTTGCCCAAAAAAACATTAAAGCATGTAAAAGCTTGCTTAGATAAAGCAATACACAGAATCTGGATAACAAAGTGTTTTCCACTAAAAGCTTTTTTGTGTGTGTACGTATCTGGTCAAAAAGGCAATCTCTATCATGTAATGTGTTTTGCTATTTATACTAATATAGCCAAGTATTACACATGACAGAACTGTAGATAAACAGAAAAAAACTCTGCAATCTTTTCTTAGATCATCTTAAAACATTAGCACACACATCGTCTGGCTATCAGCTAGCTATTTCAGCGAATCAACGTGAAATACAATTTGCACAAGATTGTGGTACGCTACAAATTCAGATTTCTTAACACATTACGTTACATATTTAATTAGTCCAGATGCACGTCCTTGTTCTCATGTTCTTGCCCAGTGTGGACTTAACAAAAATGGGCAAAGAACAAGTAACATGGCTTAGCGAGCTACACTTCACCCCCTTCAGAAAAACACACTCAGTTGCTCACAGCTGATGAGGAGACAGAGTTCAGAACAAATGTTACCTTGCTTTGCAGAAACTCACGTTGTTTCACCTATGTGCCAGAGTGCATCCTCCCAGCTGGCAGAGAGATGCGTTGCTTGTGCTCACAGCAGCCCCTGCTTACGCCTGCATCTCATCTTTATGTTGCTATTTTGATTGCACAAATGCAGTGCTCTTACTGCGGAGTTGAAAACTGCAGTGCATGCTGGGAAGCAGTACTGATGTAACGACCTGGTTGTAAGAAGCTGTCTAAGCACATATTGTCTTCATCTAAAATCTGGTCGCCAAGCTCCTTTTTGGAGCACCAGGAGCTCCGTCCAAAGGCCATAACCAAAACTAGACTGCAACATATCCAAATTTTTGTAAGATTCAGATGAAACTTCTCACAAAGATAATTTCAAAATGTGAAGTTTTTATATGAAGCAAAAATTCTAGAGAAACCAAAATAAAATCTTTATCACTCTTGGTCAGTTTCAGGGGTTTTAAAGAACCTGTTGCCTTCTTTGAAAGATTAGTGTTACGCCAAAGGCAAGGCTGTTTTTCCATTAATATTAGGCAAAACCCACAGCAGTTCTTAATTAGCATTTAAAATTAATAAAACTAACTTATTATGTCTTTTCTTCCTATATAAAATACATATATTGATAAGATTACCTTTTCTTTACACTCATTGCCTGAAGGCATATATCTACACTTTGCCACTTGGTCAGTCCTAAGAACTTAGATGTTTCTAAAACTCCATCTCCTTTTACCTCTGCAACACAGCTGTCCCTTGCCTTGACTTGCTTTCAAAAACTTCTCACCTTCAGCCCCTAAATGAGTGAGTGCCAAGGGATCCTTTCAGTCCCCCTCTCTCTGTGCAATCACTAAAAGTTCCCCGTTTGCCCACACCCTGGGTTTCCCTCCCGGTTTTATATTGTGGCTTTACGCTTCACACTAGTAGCAGTGTGCTTTGCAATGCCAGGAGGCTGGCAAGGACACTGTCCTTCTAGACAGCATCATCCCAGAGGACCAGAGAGAGCTCTGGCAAAGCAGTTGCCCTCATTTATGCGTTACTAAAATCTAAGTGACACCCTCTAAAACTAGAAAACTCTCTAACCAAAGACCTATACTGAATACTATAAATACTGCAGTTACTAAACCAACATATTACTGTCAAATAAGACAAATCAGAATTCCAGTTCAACTGGAGTTAGGAAATACTAATTAGTTATGCACAATTGAACCATCCCTACTGGACAGAAAAACTGCAATGAATTTTCATTGTAGTATGCAAGGTGTTTGGTAGTTACCTCTACATAAACCAACTGCACACGTATTTTTAATTGAAACTGTTTTCCACCTTCTAATAAACACCGAAAAAAAACCCAAGAAACCCATTCTGCTCACTTCAGTTAATTTTTACATTATAAACCAGCATTTTTCTGCACTATGACAATACTGTTCATATTAAGAACATTTATGATAAGCAATGTTTGCTCATAAATGACTCAGTAATTTTAAAACAGAAAGTTTTCTCTTGATATAGCATCTGTCCCAGCCATTTGGAAACTACCTCTCGGGCCTATCACAAGGTGATTAACTACTAAGGCAGTAAACATTACAAGAAATGCATAATTCTCAGGGAAAAAAAGAAACTGATACTTATAACAAGATTTGTACTTAAAAATACAAGAACAAAATTTTTCCTCTTGAATCTTTTTATAGTTTCATCACTCCTGCCAATGAGTCTTATATTCAAGCTCTAAAGCACGACAGACAAAGCAATAATTAGTTTTCAATATTGAAACAGCTTTCTAAATATTACACATAAGCTTTTAATAAAGATAATAATCTATATACACAGCATTTTGGCACCTTGCCACTGATGTACGGCCTCTAATCAATTGCTTGTTCAGCACTGAATATTCAGTACACTTTGTATACAGAACAAAATGGTTATTTTCTGAGGAAATTAAATACATTTTAAAATAAATTTATCTAGCTGAAAATTTTGCACACTTAATGAAGTATAGTTCTTGTAGCTAGGAAAGGAGACCAGTAGCTAGGAAAAGAGAATTAAAAGAGAAGGTTAAGCAAGCTGCCTAGGTTTTAATTTAGCTCTGCCACTAGCCTCTTGGATGACCTTGAACTAACTATTTTACTTCTTAGTTTCCTCCATTTGTAAAGATATCAACGAAGATACCTAACTCTGCAAAACAATCGTTGAAGTCTATTACATAAAATCATTCTTAAACTTAACAAGTAGTTCTTGAAGCTCTCCCCTCCCCAACAGATCCATGAGGCATCTGTGAATCAGACACTTTTCCACTACATCTTTAAATACTTCGTAAGGTTCCCAACTAGATGTGTTAACTCAGAAAAGGGTTCTGGACCTCAGTGAAGGTATTGAAAATGTCTATTCAGTATGCAGCTGCAAACCAAAAGAATGTGACATTAAAATGCATAAAGAATAGGTCAAAAATAAAATTAGCTTTTCTAGTGCCTTTATATAAATTAATAGTACTGCTCCCTTTGAAGGAGTGTTTGCATTACAGGTCACCCCTTCTTTATGGTGATATTCTAGAATGACAGGTTTCAGAGATAACTGGTGAAAAGGATCGCTAGCCGTTTGCTTCCACCTTTGAACCAAACAATCGTTTATTATCTGAAGTGACTAAGAGAAAGTATTCCACAAGAACCAGAACCAATGAAGACTGCTTGTCACGGATTTGTCTCTAGTAGTTGTCTACAACCTTTAGTCTGTTTCCATTTTTCTCCTACACTTGCCATTGAGGCACATATAAAGCTACTAGCTGGTAGAAAGTCTTTGATATCAGCTTATTTTGCAGTTCTGCCTTAAAGGACCTTCAATGTCCCTCTCATCTATGTAGCCGCAAGTTTCCAAAGAACCTGTTGGAAAAGAATTGTCTTTCATGGCTCTAACACATCTTTGATTGAGAGTGTTACTGGAGAAAAGAGGATGGTTTGACACGATGACTGCATTTACCTTCTTTCCTTAAAAAGTCAAATAATATAACATGGTGGAAATATACAAATTAGGACAGGTAAGTTAATTTTCCCATTTTTCCCCTATCCTGTGCCTTAAAAGTAAAGAAATTGAAAAGGAGAATTTCAAACCTTGTAATAGGACAAACTTCTTAAGGCAGGAAAATGATTAAAGAGGTCACTGAGATGAAGATTAAAAAATGCAAGCAACAGCTGAGCGTTTATTTATATGTAGAATATCCCATATGATTCCATTAGTGACAGTAATAATGTTGGGTTACTAAGTCTCAAACTTCAAGTATGAGTCAATCCTAATGGAAAGAACATATATTAGAAACAAAGTGTCTTTTTACCTAGAGGTAAGAGTCAATATCTTTTGCTGACAGAAGAACATGCTTAATGCTTCCTCTGGCCCTTGCTAAAAAGAGGATACGAATTAGCAGGATGTCAGTGTGATCCAGACTGAAATTCTTTCATTTCTATTGAAACTGCAATCCAAAAGCAATACATACATTTTCAATTTAAGACAAACACAATGCAGCTCAAAATGTTACACAAACGCCCAGCATATGATCTTCCCCTCAGGATTAACGTAAATCAACTGAAATTGTTTCTTTGGAGGTTCTAAGAGATTTATTTAGTACTGTTTTCCTTGTTATTGACAGGGTTTGGTTCACGTATCACATGACAGCAGCTCTACATACCTCATCTTGCTAAACTGCACGTCAATCCATCATACCAGGCAGGGTAGCTAGCGTGGTGGCCATCAGGCCATTGAAATTCATCTATTGCCACTTCCAACCTTTCAATATTTATTTTTTTTTCAAATTACCATACATATTCCATTCCAGCCCATATAGTCAAATTCTACAGCAGTTCAATACATGTCAATATGGTCATCCATATTTCCAAAGGTACGGAACAAAATTTTCTGTATGTATTATCAGAATACACATACATTTCAAAATTTATTTAAAAAACTTCAGTTACAAAATTATTAGCTTTTCGGAGGGGAAAGAGGCATACAACAACAAACTGTTCTTTCTAGAACCACTACATAGCCATGTCACATACTATGAGAAATTAAAAAAAAATTAAAAAATAAATTAAAAAAGGAAAAGCAAGCAGGCACGAGTAACCTTGTGTATATTTGTGACTGCATCTAGTCTCCTACCTGGCGTGCTGTTGGAGGTATTCACCATGCAGAGGTTTAAAAGGTTTGCTATTGCCAACAGATTGTGTTAATTTGGGGTGCGTTTATCAAGTGCATAAAACGTGACATGATTATAATACATGGCTTCGGTAGGCACAGAAAAATTCTACCAGAAACAAACTTCATGAACATATACAGTTATTTAATTTACCAAGCAAAAATCACCATAGAATATTAAATAAGTAGATGTTTCTGCAAGGCAGTGAGCTGTGTCCATGGATGCATCTCCATGACGTAGGTACAGAGGCTGTCTTACTCCAGCAGATACAATAACCTTGTATTTAAAAAAAAAAAAACAAAAAACCAAAAACACAACAAACAAAACCACAACCACCAAACCAACCACAGAAGGAAAAAAAAAACAAAAATGTAATAGGTAATGTTATCTTAACGTTAATAACATATTTGCTATAGATAAAGGCTTACATTTTTCTGTCAAGTATTTTATTAAAGTACCATTTTAAAGCAAATTGTATCAAATCATATAACTGTCCAAGTCCATCTAGGAAGTACAGCCATAAATTTGAGAAGCTAACAATAAAATCACAAACCCACAATCCATTACTGAATGATGTCAGTGTTATAAAAACATACTTGTTCTACTACATATTATTTTAAGGCACTATTAAGACCTTATATACAGTAATTAGCAACAGCGAATGAGGCGATTCACAGCTTGACGCGTAAACACACATTTATAGGGAAACAAGTTAGCGAACGATTTATAGGTATACATCCTTCCTATAAAACACAGCATCCAGCACAGTCATACGTGACAAACAGGTCTGAAAAAGCTATAACCTCTCCTACTGGTAGCAGGCAGGCAGAGGAAGAAATGAGTTGACATACAAGTTTTATGATTAGTAAATCCCCCGTTTTTCACGATGATGGTGGAAGCAAAACACCCACCCCAAACAAAACCTGCGAAGTTAATCAACCTAACGGCACAAATCTACAGGGCCAAGGTAGAACTGAGGGCTGGTCCTCAATATCCTGAAGGACCTTCACCCAAACGTGCATTTTAGACGCCGCAACAGCAGCAGTAGGATCTGCGTGAAAACAAGCCCGCTCATAAATATGAATTAACACACGTAACGCTACAACCACCCGCAGTTCAAAACAGAAAT